TTGGGTTTTTCTTCTGTTGCAAAATGCAAACTGTTTGCATTTTGTAAATTGATAAACATAAACAATTATAGTATATATTTTTGAAAGCATTCTTACTTTACAGCATTTTTTCACACCTGCCTAAAACTTTTGCACAGTACTGTATATATATCTATCATCATCATCAATCTGCAGAAGATCTGATATTCTGACCTGTACTTTTCAACATTTTTTGTTAATGACTTTGTTGAGCAGGTATAAGAAATACAGATCTCATTTGAATATAGCACAAAATTAGGTGGTGTAGCTAATGCCCTGACTTTGCTTTAGATAGTTAATGCAGAAGACAGAAATAAAATTAAAACTGATTTTGAAAACCACAGAATGAAATTTTACAGAGATAGTTGCAAAACAGAAATCAAATAGATACAGGATGCGTATATCTGCCTTGGTTTTGGAATAGCAGATGATCACAGTCTGAACATGAATCTGTAGTGTGACATAGCTTTTTTAATTTGTCTTTTTGACAAATACTGTTTCAGTAACTACATTTTTACAGAATGTAATAGTTACATGGAATTAAAGAAGAGCAACCTCCTTAAAACAATTAGCATGAAACTTATTTGATTTGCCTAATGAATACAGATTGCAGAATTTGGTTCAGGTTGCCAGATGTTGGGCTATCAATGCAGAATTTTGATTTTCCCTCCCATTTCACCATAATATAAAGAGTAACAAAGCAGCTCATATTAATTCCTCTTTATTTTAAAGTTACAATACTGTAGTGCATTTATCACTGGCAGGTTATCTTGCGGAGCTCAACATTGATCGAGAAGTCCCATCTTTATAAATTTCTTCAACCTTGGCTAGGCACAGGACTTCTAACAAGGTGAGGCAAAATATAACTCAATTGTTCTGCAGTGGATTAAAACATGTGTTTGACCCATGTGGTGGACCACTTCTGGTTGGACTCTTAAGATCTCAGTGAGCTATTACCCCCGTTCTTTACGCCCGCGTGAAGAAGTAAATGCAATAGCAAAAGGAGGAAGAGGGAGCTAGATCTGATATTGCCATATCTGTAATTAAACCTCAAGTCCCCATACAGCCTGTTGAACGTATCAAAATGGCCTCCAAGCGTGCATAGCGGTATGTGTGCACAGATCCCTTTTTGGATGTGAAGCTATATAGATGTGTGGGCTTGAGATACAGGGCCAGTGGGCAGCTACCAAGTTCTTTTTCTGCTTATTCAATGTCTGGCCCTGTTGGGTTTTATGAAGAAAATGTATATTTTGATCTGGGTTTTTTTGTGTAAGTCCTGAGTTTCACGAGTCTGTCCTAAGTAAGATTATAATATGCTGAATATAAAATAGTTGTATATAGCTGAATATAAATAGTTTTTTTAGTCATGGTTCATGTGAGAGAGAGAGACTTCACATTGATAAGTTAAAAATAAATAGAAAAGTGATAGAGGGACAAAGTGGCCGGTTCATGTATTGCCGTAAGTCATGATCTACTGCTAAGATTATACATCACATGAAGTCATTGTGATCAGAATAGGCTTGAAGACCCTAAAGACTGAAAGGGAGGTGAGGGCAGAATCGAGATTCAGTGCATGAGTAGACTTTAACCAGCATCCAATTGGCTCTCTCTTAGTTACTGATAACTACCACTTGTTGAGATTACATAGCATAGCACTGCAGTTAATCTACAACAGAAGTGAGTCCTTTCTAAACTGGTTGTTGAAGCTTTGAGAATACAAGTATGAGTCCAGAGTTCTGCAAAGTGTTATATTGCAGTGAAGACTCCTGAAACCGGCCTTCTCGGAGGCCCTCCAGATGTGTAGACTTCCCCAAAATTCCTCAGCCTGCATGGCCATTACTAAGAAATCTGGGAATTGAAATTCACACATCTGACGACACCTGAGATAGGGGAGGTATATTAGGGGTGTGTGTGTGTGTGTGTGTGTGTGTGTGTCTGTCTGTCTATCTATCTATCTATCTATCTATCTATCTATCTATCTATCTATCTATCTATCTATCTATCTATCT